CATTCCTGGTCATACTTCCACCTGTTTTCAAAGATGTGATTTTCAAAGATTGTTTTAAAAACAGATTTACTTTCCCCTCAGACAAATAGATAAAATACAAACTAAAATCTTTTTAGGTTACAATGGAAGAATGTTAAAATATTTAATTACACTCTAATTTTTCTTGCACAATGACTGCATACTCAGTTAAATACTTAATTCTTTGTTAAATTTGTTGGGCTTGTTTGACTACTGGCGAAATCTTAATAGGTCACAATGGAAGAATGTTAAAATATTATTTTCTTATTTTTCTTATAATATTAAAATATTATTTTCTTATTTTTCTCGCACAATGACTGCATAGTCAGTTAAATACTTAATTCTTTGTTAATTTGTTGGGCTTGTTTGACTACTGGCATATCTACGCAACAAAAGGAAGCCCCTTGAGCCTATAGCGTAAAATTGATCGCAGCCGAAAAGGGAAACACAAGGAATGCAGCTGTGATTATTCCATCCCATCCCATTCCATCCATTCCATCCCTAGGGTTGGATACGAGCAGGAGTCAATCAATTCCTTTCATCTGATTGCAGTTTGAGTTGCATGGGGTCCCGTTTACCCTCTGCTCCACTGAGGTCCCCTGAGGAAGTTCAGCGTGTGCCATGGAGCCACTTCCACTTGTCCTGCACCACGGGACATCTCCAACGTGGCACAAAAAGTGTGGTGGTCTTTGGTTTGTTTGTTTGTTTGTTTTGGTTATGATTTTCTGCATGTGAGGAGTATTTTAGCTACATCTTGACTTACAGGTTACAATGACAAGACTCATGGAATGACAAAAACCGAGAGCGCTCCGAGGATGCGGTGGGCTGCGGGACGTGCGCTTACACTCGTAACCAATACTCACCACCTTCGCAATCTTTGCCCTCAAATCAAATTTATTTAGGAATATCATCATAGGAAATACGGACAAGTACAGCAGAATAGAAACACTCAGTCATAGGTTGCCTTGTTGAAAATTAAATAAAAAATACTGGCTAAATCATAACCCATAACATGATTACATAATATATTTGTAAGATATCTCAAGATAAAAATACAAAATAAAACCTTTGAGGGCTAATCTATAGCTATGGCTCCTCAGTGTGCTGAGTGCAGGGATGCATGCCCATAATGCTGCAGGAGATAGGCACATACAAACACCATTTCTTATGGCCCCATGCAGTGTTTTGGTAGCGCAGCCTTACAAGTTTCCAAGTGAAACTTTTGTTAAGGGAGAGGCCGAACAGGAAGCGTTTCAGCCATCTGAATGCTAATTTTGCTCAAGGTTTAAGCCTTAAGTAACATATGTTGGTTATACTGGTCTTCTCTATCAAAATAAATGTCTCCTCATACAAACAATATGCTAAACTTTGGGTCAACTCCAGACAAAAACTTGTTAGGAATAAAAGAGGAAAGAATTAAAATATAATTGGTATTAAAGGAAAAACAAAGAACTCTTCTTTTGGTATTTCAGTGACACATACCACAGCGATTAAACTGAAAACAAATGAGCAATTATTGATACACGAATCACACTTGGATATTGGTGATTGAGCTCTGCAGGCCCTGAGTGCTCCCGGCTTCGCTGTGGGAGGCAGGACACCGAGTCCGCCGGGATGCCCCCATGACCTGCAGCATCTGCTGCTTCTATTCTGCTGCAGAAAACTTCTGCAGAGTGTGTAAAACACTATGGGACAGAGGGGAAAAAAAAAAAAAAGGCAAGTCCAATTGTGGTAAAGGTCTGAAATTGAAAATACAGTAACACATCAAATTCAGATTTCTCCAAATTTCAATCTCGTTAAATCAAATTTACAGGTATCAGTCATATTCTGCTCTTTCCAAAGTCAGGGGGAATTGCAGACACTCCCCATAATCTAAAATAACGTGTGCTATGTTTTCAAATAAAAAGCATAAAACCAAAGTTCTCACATTTTAAACATGAAAATCTTTCACTGCCACAGCACTTGGCAATTTACAGCTTTCTATAAAAGATCTGACATGACCAACATTTTTCTCTTGTCATAATGGCAATAAGAAACCAAAAGAGAGTTTATATAATTTTATAAAGGGGAAAAAGTCCAACATTCCAGAAAGGGATGCAAAGGTGCATGGAGGGATTCAGGCTACTAACGATTTGCTCAAACACTAGCAGAGAATATATAAATTCTTAACCCTTAGCAAAAAATATCAGTTGCATTATAACATTTATGATACAATTTAATTTGTTAACATTTCATTCGTTAACCGCACTGTACAGAAATTTGTCCATGCTAAATACAAGCCCTGGACCAGATACACAAAACGATTTAAATGCACTTTTTACATCTTATATGCACAAACATTTCTTAAGTTAAAACTATGCACACTGAGTATGCATAGCGTATATATGGCTTACATACCGAATGACACGAATTCCACCTTTTGGCATGCCCTTGTCCCAGAGCAAAGCGCCCGTAGCGTTCCCGGTTCAACGGCAATTGCTCGGCTGTTGGACAAGAGGCCGCCGGTCAGCACGGACACCCGGGGGGTTGTCTCATCCTTCCTTTTCAGTCGAGAGCAGACGTGCCCCTGCTGAGGGTGAGTGCGAGGCCTGCGCTACCCTCAGCTGCGGCTGGATCCCCAAAGCAGCAGCTGAACAGGGCACATCCCGAGTGAATGGGGGCCTCTGCGCAGGGGGGAGTCACCCTCCCTTGTCCCGCTCAGGGGACCATGGCTGATGGCAGAGACTTTTTGGTCCGTGAGGTATCGATCACAGAGTCCGAACAGGGGGCCTGGCAAGGCAGTGACCCCAGCTGAGGAACAGTGTGGGAATCTCTGCGGAGGCTCCAGCGCTGAGGTCGGCCGCGTGTCCGAGCGGCTAAGGAGGAGGCGGAGATGAAAGGTCAGGAGTCTTTCTGGACACAGCTCAGGCCGGAGGGCTGGCTCTGGGGCTGCCCCACGGGGAAGCTGCCTGTGTGCGCTGAGCTCTTCTCTTGCCTCTCAAAAGAAGATATCCGAGGTGGAGGGGGTCTGGAGCGTGAGTGTGATTAGGAAGGATCCTCCATAGGAAGGATTTTCCTGGATCCAAGTAGTCAGTTTTGCATTTGAACAAAACCATGGCATAAGGCCTCAGTGCCTCCTTCCAGTTCTGTCTGAGAGGCAACTCGATGTTTGCTGAAGTGAAGCAATTCACCATGCATTTATGGAGCTGTCGATGGCCAGCTTCGTGGCAAGGTAGACACCATTGCCAAGGTCTTGCTAACTACTACAGGAAACAGCACTGAGAAGGTTTGGGTCTGAACAGTGAGTGCTACTTAATTTAAAGGAGATATTTTGATACTGATTCTGTTGAACACGAGGTCTCCAGAGCAATAGGACAGAGTTGTCATCCGTGTGCGCTGATCAATATAACTCTAGAAGTTCCCTGTACAGTTTATGTATATTTCCTATTTCCAGATACTTTAAGAAAGCTAACCAGGAGAGCTCCAAAGCTGCGTGCAGCATGGCTGCATGAACAAGGGTCTCTACCACTGGTTTGATTTTGCATTTCCCTACTGCCAGTAGCAGTGCCACGTAAGAGCAATCCAGTGCAGACAAATGCCATGTATTTTGCATGTCTCATGCTTAGCTGAAAATGTCTTGTTTCAGTGATGCAGTAAAATGAGGTCCAATTTTGGTGGAAAAAAAAAAGTATTCTGGATAGTTTCAGAAAGCAGAACAGAAGCAGAAATAGCAACAACTACAACTGAAGTTTTGAGAGTTGTCTAGTGCCTTGAGTTACCAGCTCAGGTTTTTATGTTTTATATTTTTTGAAGTTTTGTTCAATTACTCGCCATACAATGATATGATCAAAGAGGAACTTGATGGATAGTGGCCTCAGTAAGAACAGGGGTAGGAACTATTAGTGCTCTTCTTTTTCTCTGAAACAGAGTTCAAACGAAAAGTCATAAACGGGATTTTTTACAGTTATTAACTCATATATTAAATACATGTGAATTGAGAATGTTCTACATTTAATTTTTAAGCATGTAATTATTTAGCCTGACAATTTGGACACGTAAAAGTATCAATTTTTCTCTGTATTAAACCGAGGCTTTTTAAGGAAGCACAGAAGGTAGGGTGCCCTCTGACCCAATTCTTAAATTTTGTAATAAATGCAAAATTGGACAGTATTATCAATATGCAAATATTTATGAAAGTAAAAAAAAAAAAAGACAAAATTACCTCTCCTCCCTGAAATGTCAGAAGCCTTTAAGAAATACCAAGTCTAGTTGCGTATCAGTGCAGGTTTTTGCTCAGTGGATTTTACTATATCTTCTGATTTCTTACAGTGTTTAGGTTCATCTGGAAGATAAATAAATGTTATTGGGATCTTGAGTGAGGAAGTCAACCAAGTACCTAGAGTCTGTACAGCCTTAGTTGGACAGGAATTATTTTCCCTTTATTTTCTAAGGCTAAACTGGGGTTTCAGTCCCATCTTTCTTTCACTGCTTTCTCACCAGCATGAACATGGGACTGCACTAAATAATAATTATGGTTTATTCATAAGGCAAAACATGGAATGAAAGCAGTAGATCAAAGCATTAAATGAAAATATGATGGCATTTACATGAGTAAATATTAATAAAGTGCCTATATATATATATACACATATATATATATATATATCTTCCATCTTACTGAAAGTCCACCTTCAGTAGAGAAGTGCTTTTAAATCCCCTTCACCCTAGGCACTCAAATTATGGGAAGTTTCACTTAGATAATGTCAAGTTCCAATTCAGTCACACAGGAGAAATGACACTGTGTGACACAAGTAGCTTTCAAACTGAGCCATTTAATATGAATTTCAAACTGTTCTGTGAGTGCTTTTCAATAATATCTACAGCTGAGAAGATTATAAAATGATCAGTGGCCATATGCATGGGGTGAATGTGACAAACTTATAGCATTATTTATTAACTAGAGTGTAATTGCTCAGTTTTAACCAACTGACCAGATGTTCCCACCAGTGACTACTAACACTAGATTTAAAATGTGGTAAAAGGGAAAGCACAGAAGACTGAAAAATTGAGAAGAGGAGCAGGAAAGAAGGGAAAGGTTAAAATAAAATAAGTACAAGGGGGAGTTTTGTGAAGAACTTGTAAGCAGAAGCTGTTTAATCTTCATAAAAGCTAAATATTTATTTCTAAACCATATATAACTTTCTTCCGGTCACTGTGTAAGTTTTTGTATGTCAGCTGTGCCTACTAAATGGTTGTCGCTGGTTTTTAGCTCGTCATCACGGCCCTCTTCGTCAGCGCGTCGGTTGCTGTTTTAGCACCGTTTGCCGTGGACGCCGGGCGCGTTCGCGAGCGCCCGCTCTCGCTGTCCCCACATTTACTGCGTGCGGAGGGAGCCGCTCGGGCCAGGCCGAGCAGGGGCCGACGTGGCCATCACTGGTGCCGGCGTGAATGGAACCAGCACATCCCTGAGGTGGGTTTGTGCACTGCTGTTTTATACCGATATCCTCGAGAGGCTTTCAGGGCTGACTGCCGCGGCAGAGCTCACGTGACTGGGTAGTCTTCTGCTGGCAAATGGAAAGAAGTTCTCCATAATCTGTTTCATTGCAGATTTATTATCTTCCTTGCATTTGGATATTAAGGATTAATGTGGCAATCAAAATGAGTGAAAAGTTGAAAGTGCGCCAATTAGCATTTTATAAATCATTAAAACATTAAGTTGCTTAATTAAACATAAGCAGTTTTTAAAGTTAATGATCTAATTAATAAATCACTCAGGAGAAAAGAAAAATCATCACTTAAAAAAAAATCACCCTATAATAGTTCCACTTAATCTTGTAACATTTGATTAAATGGAAGGGAGATTATGGAAAGGACAAAGATATTGTGGAGAAAAATGGCTTTCAGTGTCGACTGGAGCTCTCCCAGGCGCGAGCGGTTCCCCGCTCAGCCCAGCCAGCACGCAGGGCACAGCAAGTCCCATTAGCACAAAGCGAGAGCCTATGCGATAGCACCCGGTTAAAATCCAGTTCAAAACACTCCTCTTGATTATTCAAGTAGAAAAGCAACATGTTTGTTTCATTATTTTCTATCGGGAAATAGGATTTCTGTGAAATCACATTTTATAATGAGCAATGTTTTCCGCCCAAGAAAACTGAAGCAAACCGAGATATGAAATATTAAATACATAAAAATGATTTTCGTGTTTGGAAAGTTTATCTTTTGCACTTAGGATGGGATTTTAATTTACCATAGATTTGTGAAAAATGCATTTGAAATAGGAAATAACATATTTTGGACCTTTTCTTGAAATGTCTGATTCTCTAATCTAATAAGGTTCACGAACATCCCGAAATTGTGCTGTCCTACACTAACCTTCATTGTAGTTGCTTAAATGCAGATAAATGTAGATATTTAATATGCATTTTCTTGCAAGAGTATTCATCGCTGTAGCATGCATAGAAAGTTAGTGCAATTCCATACATTTTGAGTGATATGAGATCATTTCACCAAAATGAAGCAGACAAGCGAAACATTCTAAGCATGAATTTTCAGTATTCAGTATCGCCAACTATTTCTGTACTAAGTCCCTGCTCTGCCTTTCTGTTCTGAATAGATCTAACACGATGGCAGAGTCTCTGTAGAGATATTTAAAGCTGCTGTTGAAACCCAATATTAATTCAGTCTGGTCTGTCTCAGAGAGCCAGGACCATGTGTTCTGTAGAATATCTAGTGCTCCAGCCTCTGGGTATTACCATAACAATTTTATGTGTATGTTGCAGTTATTTATATCAGGCACAAAAAAAGCCATCACAGATTTATTTATTTATATTATCTATGACATCATCCATGTCTCCTCTGAGGCTTATTCAAAGCATAAATGTCTGTATAAGGGTCAGGGCTAACATAAAATATTATAATAGTTTAAAAATAAATTAAGAAAAATTCTCATTGAATAGTAATCTGGCTGATTACTTTTTCTTAGCAAAGAAAGATTAAATATGCTGATGTGATCATTTTGTAAATCATTTTAAAAGATCACCAAAAAAAAGTTTTCCCATTTCAAACAGTTTGTTATAACAGGTTTAGATATTGGGAAAATAGGGGAAATGCATGAATGAAATGCTATTAAATTTAAAATTTAAATCAATCTATTTGATTATAAATGATAAATTATGAATGATTATAGATAGATTATAAATGATTCAATCTACAGCAATCAAATAAAACATTCACTGAGTTTTCCATTCTTCTGTGATTTAACTATGCAGGAAATTAACACCAATGATCATAGAAGGAGATGGCTGAGAGTGAATTCAGTGTACAGTGGTATATGCTACATAAAACAACGATTAAAAATGCTTTCAAATATGAGATGTTGTCAGAAACAAAACCTAAGCAATGTCCTTATTCTATACATTGTAACACATCACAACTGCCCACTGCATGTCTGGAAAGGTAAAAGATGCAGCATTTCCTACTCCACTCCTTATCCAGGACATAGGAGACTTTTCAGTCTGTTAAGGCTTAGACCTTAGAACACAAATTATATATAAAAAAATACACATAAAAAGGAAAAATGTCACTCATTAGAAAACTTAAAATGTTGTGAAATTAGTTTAAATAGAAATCTGTAGATACAGGACCATAAATTCATCACCTCTTATTTCCAATGAGGAAAATTTGTCAACAACAAAATTACAAGCGCACTCCAATTGGGGGGGCTCTAGAAGAAGGGGCAGTTCTCCACAGACAGGACCTTTGAGGCCGATGCTGAACTGCATAGTTATTCCTAGCTGCTACCCAGACCGTTGCTTTTGACCCACTCTCACAGGCTTCACTCTCATAAGTCCATTAATGAGTTCAGCCTTTCAAGCAGAAGTGAAGAAAGCCAGTTCCTCTTACTGCCCTCATAACAAAGCTTTTATTAACATTAAGATTGTATGAGAATAAACATTAGTCTATGGTGCCTTTTTCTTACTTTCAAAATGCCTACTCTTATCACTTGGACATCTTGATACTGTCTTACAACCACCAGATACTAAACCACTGGTCAGCTTGTGAGAAAATTCTTGCACTCAAAAAATAAAATGAAAAAAAAAAAAAGTCCTTAAAGGGCTTTTTTAGCTGTTCCATTTGTCCCACAATCTACAGTCAGGAAAATGACTTTTCTTATTAAGAGAACATCTTCCCATGCCTGCTACACTTACCTTTGATCACTTTAGGTAGATACAATTTTCTAACTCATATTACTTTTAGTAAAAATGTATGTGTTTCACCAAATAAAAGTCACATTAAGTGCCTAAACTGAGATGCATTTCAATACCACAAGAATAAGTACATATTCAAGGAGAAAATGTTAATAGCTCATAGTATCATTCTTAATAACAAACTGGTATTGAATTGCATATGTGCATCTTAAAATAACTTTAAAGTCATTCTTCCAGTCAGGCTTTGCTGTTTACATAAAGGATTTCCTATTACTTATCAAAGAGATAATATCAAAAAGATGATAAGATGATACTTTTTTTTTTTTGTATCAGATGTCCTTTATTTGGTGGTTTTATAACATATGCTGAAAGAAACTTTCTTATACTGGTGGTTTATACAACACCTTATTTCGATATTTTACCACTGTTGATGTTTGACAGAGAGGTACTGGACACTGCTGCAGCTTCTCCCTGGGCAGCTTCATTAGCCTGACTGGTGCTTTGTGAAGAACTATTACCATTGAGTGGCTCTGTGCTCTGCGTTTCTTGCTGGGCCTCGGTGAGATCCTCCTGGTTCAGAGCAGAGTTAGTGCATTTCTCTGAGTCGGGTTCAGGAAGAGGAGTGTCGAAAGAGATTACTTGTAGGACGATGGATCTGGGAGGGCACGTTGTATCATCACCTCCCTGACTAGTCTCATTTTGTGTCCTTGTTGTCTCTTCCCGTAATTGGGCATCTGTGGATTTTCTGCTTTGGTCTTTCTGCTGTTCATCATCACTTTTCACAAGTTCTTCTATAAAGAGGGAATAAAATATGTGAATTAGTAAAAATATGAATTATGAATGCTATACCCCAACTGTTTGATTTCAGAGTAGCAAGTGTTTGGTAGAGTTGCACGCGGGAATATTGTGATCATCAACTTTCTAGATGAGGACGTGCGCTGATGTGCCATATTCTGGTCTTGATTTTCACAGTTGCTACCGAATCACAGTGGTTGGCTCTGTGGTTTGAACCTTAATTTGTACAAGCTACAGGGAGAACAAATTTGAGAGGGCTGTAAGCATGCTATCTGGTACTGGTGCTATCATGGCTGGTGGCAAATACAGAATAGAAGTGAATAAAAAACAAGGAAGCTAAAGGAGAAAAATGCTCATGGAAGGGTCTACTCCATGCTCCACTGCAGCAGGTGAATTGGAGAAAAGCACACGTGCAAAGAGGGAGAATGAAAGGATCTCAGAGCAGCACAGAGAGGTGGGTAGGAGGTGCGAGATGATGAAGAAAACACAATCGAAGGGACTTGTGATAGAGGGCTAGAAATCTAATAGAAATAACCTTTACCATTTTGTTGGAGGATTGTGTTGTTCATTTACAATCTCTGTTTCATAAATTCAGATTTTAGACTCTTCACACTTGTTCAGAGGTGTTTCATAACCTCTGGAGGTTCAATCAATTTAAAAAGTGAAAGCATTGCAGTTTGAACAACACCTCCATAAAAGAGCTAAAGATTATTGCATGAATCTCCAATGTCACTCTTGTGATCACTGTATTAAGGAAGGGAATGAAGCACTGGGATATTTATCATTTTGAATTGCCACCATCCTAGGAAGAAACTGGTTCTGAGTGAATAGTTGAAAACTGATCACATGTGTTAACTGAGGGAGAGAAGCATTTCTGTAATCCAGGCTGCAATCACCCTTATGCCTCAACCAGCGTTTAACACCTCCATTACATCAGTGTTCCGAATCCAAGAAAAGGCCAGTTGAAGGCCAAGGTGGCCTGTGAAGAGGGATGCAAAGGAAAGGAACTCTTCCAATCCTTAATCATCCTAGTTCTCTCTGATCTGCAGAAGCATAAAATATTTAAATTATTTCTCTACCTGAACCTCCCTAGTATTATGCAAAGCATAAAATATTTAAATTATTTCTCTACTTTGTCACCTTTTGTACTTTTTGGCATGTCTAAACTTAAAAAAAAATTCAGCGATTTCAAAATTCTTAACCATTTTTTTTTCTTTACAGTGTGTAGAGAACTTGTTTTGGACTGCAAATCTTCTGCAACTTGGACAGGTACTTTTTCTCTACAGACTTTAATACTGCTCACCCAAAGAACTGGTTAGACTAAGGAAATTAATAAACAATTTGTGCAGCTTGAAAGTAACTCTGATGTTGTTTAATCCAGATATGTTAATTAAATGATTTGTCATTCATGGTATAATTTATTTACCTAAGGCTTTTGTCCTATTAAACTGATTTACATACCATACTTGCCTCCATATGGCAGAGCTACAAGCATTCCTCCTTAACTTTATCAGAAACAAGGAAATTCCAGATAAAAACATATCAGATTCTGTTCAGATGCATCAGTAAGTTAAGCAAAGCAAAGCTAAACTATAAGCATACAAACAAAATGGAAAGATGAAAAATTAAAATAGTTAATAAGGAGATCTTAAAAATGTATAAATATTTGAAGCTATTTAGACTTTTAGAGTTTTTCTGTGTTTAAAATAAGCACAAATCTTGAGATGACACTTCATCTTTACATCAGGTTTACCCAAGGCTTTCTTAAAAATGCCTTTAGTGCTTAAAGGCTACAAGGAACTATTTTTAATAGCACAATGTTTTATTTTAACGGTATGATACTGATTTAAGTTGTTTCCTGTTAAAACAGTAATATTTGCTTAGCTCAAGACAGAAAGCTGTAGGGTTTTTTGTTTGTTTCTTTTTTTTTAACCTAAAAGCTGGTAAGAGACAGTATCTTTCTTAAAAAATGATGCTTTAGGACAGTACTGACCAGAATTTCCATTTGTTTTGGTGTGACTTGGTGGCTAACCACTTTATTCTCTTATTAAAAGTAATGTCTCAAAACATTTCTTCTTGTAAAAGCACTTTTTTTTCAGTTCATAGTATATGTGAACTTTGTATTGTTTGTCTTTCCTCCTTTGCCAAGCTTAAACTGGCAAATGAATATTAACAACTTAATCTGAATAATGATTATGGTCTGCTCGTATTATCTCTTATTTCTATGACTTGCGATGATCTCAAGCATGGATATCTAAATGAAAGCCACATTCTAACTCAGCTCTGTGCATGTCTGATGGAGTATGGCACATGTCCACACCTGATAACCCACTAGTGAAGTGTCCTATCCATTGCACTTAAACTGACTTTTCAGAAGCCAGTAGAAAAGAGTATGTGAGAAAAATTGTATATTTTCAAAGTATGAAAAACACTGTGGAACTTCAGAATCTATGGCATTAAAACTACTGACAGATTGCTTATGGCAACAAGTGTATCTGCTGCCTCTTAAGTTTCATAACTAGAGCAGAACAAAAACATTTGACTGTTCTCACAGATGATTTGTGAAATGGTTTGCCGTACTTCAGCCACAGGGTCACTCACTAGCAAATATGTTTTGGGCCTGCTCCCAGAGACTTATGCCATATGTATGATTTCACATTCTGGAAATGGATCCAGAACCATAGCTCCATCAAGATTCGTATTACAATGAGTACTTAATCAGTGCTGCTAGGCTTTTTTGTTTGTTTTGAGCAGTGATTACCATTCCATAGTGATAAAATTTCAAAATCACTCTTAGTTAAATCAGCTTGAAAAAAAGAAAAGCCTTTCATCTGTTTGAGAGGAGTTTGTTCGGGGCAATTAGGAGACGTGGCTGGTAGTTGCGACTGAGGCTGAGGATCCTCAGATATAAATTCCTCAATGATGGTATCATTAAAATTCCAAATCCTTGTTCCTGGTATTATGTGTCTCATCTGCTGTACATCTGATTCTATGTTCTGACTCCACTCTGCTTCATCTGCTCTGAAATCCACTGCAAAACAGGAATAAAAAGAGATGAATAATATTGGATTCTACCTGTGGAATATGCTATTTGGTCTGGAAAAACATAGATTCCTGTTTTCTGTAACAGTAGCGTATATTATACAGGGCCTCTGTATTTCACTGTTGGAATTTATGGTTGTTTGCCTTATCACTCTGATGAAACAGAAATATTCAGCAGTCTTTAAAAGAAGTTAGGACTGGAACAGTAACCTACTAGCTAAAATTTAAGCCACTAGCTCTCTGAAAAGATTCTTATTAAGTATTATAAATTGAATAAGATTAATAAGATTTAACAACCTTCTAAGCAGTATTTCTTTCTATAAAGCTTCCCTCTTTCTTGACCAGTTGGGCTGGACAGTAGGGAGCTTATCATATGCATTCAAAGGATTATCATGTCCATTCAGATACTGGCATATTGCATGCTGCATGGTTAGCTCAGGAAAGGCATTATCGTTACCAATTTTTTTCCTCTCCAAGTTTTAAATTGCTGAAAGTTCTTGGAGCTAAGCCCATTTACATATTTTATATTGTTTGATTTTCCTTACTTTACAGAAAGCCAAGTGTTATTCAGCAGAATTTGTACAACTTACGCTGAGAAACAAGTTGCTTCTTCAAACAGATTTGCCCTGGATGACTCAGTCTTATCTATCCCTTCAGCACTTCTATGCTGTCTCTCACCTAATGCCTTAAAGCACTGTCCTTCATGAGAAGGAGCTACAACACCTGATAAGTAAAGATAACATTAAGTGCTATCTTTCTTCCCCTGTGCTGGCATGATTATCATCTCATTCTCAATGCAAAAATAAAAATTAGGCTAAATCCTTATGAAATTACCCAGTGCCAGCCATGTATATGACTGGAGGCTTTATTATTTCATTTAAAAAAATCAAGAAAAAACAATCAGTTGTTGTTTTGTGGAGCGAGTAAGAGCCCTGAATTCCCAGAGGTCTGAAAGGCACTATCAGGTCCCACAGACCCTCTGACATCTTACTCAGCTATTTAAGCAACACGAAAAGAAATGAGAGCTCCTTTTTTTGGAACCTGGATCTCTCCTGGAGGGGATAACAAGCTCTGAATATCCTGAAACCACTAGGATGCCATGTGGCTTGCTCACTAGCAAGGTTTATCACAGGGTCCTATGTCCTGTATCATTGCTCTGCTACCGCAGGAGCTCTGACAACTCTGCATTATAAACCACAGAGCTGACTTGTACTGGATTTGCTCAACTACATTACTACCTGTGTACACAGCAACATTTCCAGGATGTGCTTTATTAGGTGATGTTTTTCTGTCTTTTGGTACCTTCTCTTTTACTTCTGCGTTTGTCCGTCGACTTTCTTTTCCTGACTTTTCTGTAATAAGGTGAATAAAGCAGAGAAGTAAATATGTAACTTCTATGGTCTGTACAGTACAGATCTCATAAGATATCCTTTGCCCACAGTAACAGCAGCATTTGAGCATGTACTGCCTTAGGAAGAGTGAAGAGGAAAACCACAAACATTACAGGTAAGCACAACAGCTACTGGCAGCCTGTGGTACAATGCAAAACTCCAGGACTGCAAATCCCTGTTGAATCATACCATTATTTTCATTGGGTGTATTGAAAATAAACTGAATTCATTTGCCTTTCTCTACTGACACAGTGACACTGAAGGAATCAAAACTAGCAAGCTACTGGACTAGAGGGAAAATCTGTTCATTGCCACTAAGAATGAAATTATTTGAGGAATCTCTGATTAAGAATGTTGCTTGATATTACAGACCCTACTAGTATTACTGCAAGCTTAATTTGATTTCTAGGCTTGTCTGCCATCTCTTTTTTATTAGAAAAGAGCATTCTACAAATCAGTGGCAGAAGACCAAACCAGGATCTGGTTGAGAAGGAACCTTCTCCTACCAGCCATTCTTAAGAGGTCAGCAGTAGAAAGCAAATCTGTGCAGATGATAAGCGGGC